CCTTCTCGCCGCCTCTGCCTTCCCCCCCCCCCCTCCCTTTTGCCCTTGCCCCCCCCCCCCCCCCCCCCCCTCCCCACCCCCCCCCCCCCCCCCCCCCCCCCCCCCCCCCCCCCGCCCGCGCGCACGGGCTGGGGGGGCGCGGGCGCGGGGCGGGGGGGGGGTTTTTCCCAAGCCCTTCCGGGCGGGGGGGGGGGGGGGGGCGGACAAAAAAAACAAGGCCAGGTGCCCCCGGGACGGAGGTGTCCCCACCGCCCCCCCCCCCCCCTGTTCCCGGGGGGCGAGGGCGAAACGACAACCAGAGAATGCACGCGCCCTTGCCCGTGGCCAAGATGGTGACGGGAATCTGGCCGGTCAGCCGCCCCTCTCGGCCCCATCCTGGCCGGGAGGGCGGACCGACCTGGATGAGCCTTGGTATGCAGGTGCAGGAGCCTGTCGGTGTAGGCTCATGTGCGCGCGCGGGCGCGTACGTGCATGCGTGTCCGGCTGGGTGCATCTATGTGTCCGGCGGCGCGGCTCGCTCTACCTACCGCAACCCCCGCCCCCGTCAGGCACTCGCCCGCACTTGCACCCGCACTTGCACACTGCCCCGTCCAATGCCCGAGGCAGAGAGCCATGCCCTCCTCGCGTGTCTGGTGCCGCCGCAGATGGGGACGGCCCAGCGCGGGGAACCTACCCCGGCGCGGATTTCCTAAATAATCACCCAGCTTCTCTGGGCCTACCCTGTCGCTTTCGGCGGATGTGCATCTGTCCCGCCCTCGTGCCCTCGCTTGCTCGCCCTCGCTCGCCCGCAAGCAGATCCTTCCCTCGGCCGCTCGCGGTCTCCTCGTGTCTTTCCCGCGGTCTCGGCATCGCTTGGGGGGCCTCCCGGCCCTACCTTCGATGCCTCCCGCAGGTGGCTATGGCTGGGGGGGGGGGGGGGGCAGCAGGGCCCGGCATGTTTGTGTCGCCCCGGCGGGCTTGGAGCCGCCTGAAACGCCCGACCGCACCCAGGCATGCTCCCGCACGCATCGGACCCGTCTCGAACTGCCGCCGGTGGCGAGATACCGCCTTGGGGGGCAGGCCCGGTGGCACTTTTTGGGGCCCGCTGCCCCCCGCCCCCCCCCCCCCCCCCCCCCAGCGAAGTGCCCGGGACCTGCCCGACGGTGGGGGCCAAGAAAAAAAGACACGAACCCGGACCACCCTCCCGCGCCCGCCGTCAAGAGCCGAGAGAGATGACAACCCACCCACCCCCACTCCCCGCGAAGGCTGCCCACCACCGGAGGAGGCGTGGGGCATGGCCCCCCCCCCCCCCCCCCCCCCCGTTCCGCCCGTTCCCCCCGTCCCCGGATGCAAGGCGCCGCCGGTCACAACAGCCGCCTCAGTGCGGCCGGGCCGAGCTCAAGCGCCCAACACAAAGAGGCCCATCGGGGGAGAGACCGGTCGGCAGGCAGCCGGGCGGCGGGAGAACACCAAAGAGAATGGCGGTCTAATTTCCCGAGCGTGAAAAAGCCCCGCCAGAGCGCGGCGCAAGCCCCCACGCTTGGGGCATCACGCCCGGGCCTCCCGGTGATCTCCAACGCGTGACCGGCCATTCGTTGGCCGCCTGGCCTACGCGCGATCCGGCCCCGCGAGCTCGATCCCCCCGGCCCGGTGCTCCGCCGTGCGCCGCTCGCTGGCAACAATGGCCTCGCTAGCTCGGCTCACCGCTTGGCTGGCTTATGTGACACGGCCCTCGCGGAGGGTGCACCGATGCAGGTGCACCTGCCGCCCATCCTCCTCCCTCCCCGGCCTTCTCGCCGCCTCTGCCTTCCCCCCCCCCCCTGCCTTTTGCCCTTGCACGTCCACACACACACACCCTTGCGTATCCCCTAGCCATGGCCGCGACTCTGCCCCTTACCGAGGAAATGTCCCTCCTGCTGGAGCAGGACACCACCTTCGACCCGTCGGCCGCCGGGACGGCGCTCTTCTCCGTCCCGGACGATGTGCCGGATTTTGATTTGCGCCTGCAGGAGGATTTGCAGACGCGCACCTTGGCGGCCATGGAGCTGGCTGGGGGCCGGCCTGTGCTCCTGCTTTCCTACCCCTGCTCCAGCGTGCGGGTCAACTCCACCCACACCCTCGAAGCCGGGACGCTCTTCTTTATGTCCGGGTACGCCGAGCTACGCCGGGTGGCCTTACTTTTCCCGGTGGTCCCTGCGGCCATCGGTAGGGGAGGGGGGGGGGATCCTTGTTGCTTCGTCTTTCCCCTTGTCTGGCCACCGTTTGTGCGAAAGAAATAATGACACCCCCCAAAAAAAAAAACCCTCCCGGCCTGGCCCGCCGGCACATGCAGACGCCTGCACTGGAAGCCGCAGGCTCCGGGGGCCGGATTCTCCATGGACTACGCCAGCATTGTGGTGGCGGCCGTCTCAGCCGCCGAGGGAGATGGCGAACCACTGGTCTTCGTGCAGATCGCCTCCCAGGTGGACACGGCCATGGACGAGTATGAGCCCGTTGATGTGACCTTCGCCGCGGCCAGCACTTCGGATGGTATGTACTCCGGCTGACGCACGCGCACACCCTGCTCGGTCTCCGCCTCGGGGCTTCGCCTGCCTCCGTCTTTCTGCGCCGCCCCGTCTCTAATGTGCAATCCGCCCGCCGCCGCCGCCGCCGCCGCCGTCGCCGCCGCCGCCGCCGCCGCCGCCGCCGCGCCTGCCCACTCGCACAGCCAACTTCCTCTACCACCTGTTCAATGTGTGCAGCTCAATCAACTCCTCGACCTCCGGTCTGGAGGGCTCGGACGAGGAGGCCGACGGGGACGTTGAGGAGTCCGGCACCGACCAGGACCCCACCTCGGCCGACCCCATGATGGCTGGCATGATCACTCGCGACATGATCCAGGGCATGGACCCGGAACAGTTTGCCGGGTTCTTCTTCGGCTCTCAGACCGGTGCCCCCCCGCCGGAGATGACCTCCGAGGGCCAGGCTCACCTAGACCGCCTAGAGGCCAGCCTCGGGACGTGCGACACCACAGCCATGGCCACCGGCACCATGGAGGACGACGATGAGGAGGAATAGGCCCGCCCCCCCCCCCCCCCTGATGAGGGAAGAGGAACGCGCATGGATGCGCGTGCGCGCGTGCGCCAGACAGCCTCCTCCGTGGGGGCAGCCGCCGGGCCGATTGCCGATCGGTAGATTCGTTGGCAGTTTGTGTCCTCACGCCTGTGCATTCCCGCCGGTGCTCATGACAATACACGCATTCCCCCAGGACCGGCCAAGCGAGCGAGCGAGCGAGCGAAAGAGGGAGAGAGAGAGAGAGAGAGAGGCCGAGGAAACACAGGGGCGGCGTCTGTCCCCGCGGCTGGCAGAGGAGGGCGCCGAGCGGCAGCCAACATTCACAACAAATAACAAGACAATTCGCCGCGCGGTTTCGAGGCAGGCCATGTCCTCCGTTGGGGGCTGTCCTGCCGGCCCGCGGGGCGGGGGCGACCGGATTGCCGGCCATGGATTGGGCGTGGCGCCGGGACGGACGCTCATCGGGGGGCTCCGCTCCCGGGCGTGGCCCTCCCCCTCCGAAGGTCAGGCAAGATGGGATCCGGGTGGCGGAAGCTCGTCATGAGGCGGCAGGCTGCCGGAACACCACCCGGACCGGCACTCCCCGTCATTCTCCCCCGCCCCCCCGCCCCCCCGTCCCTCTCCCTCGCCCTCCCGCTTTCTGGCTTGCCTCTTGCTCGGTCGCCGCCCGCCGGTTGCTGCATCTCGCCATGTCTCGATCCCGCTCCGATCGAGGCGGCGCTGACGGGCCATTCGTCTTCCCCCCATCGCCGGATTCCACTGGCCCACTCTTCTTCGATGACGATCCGCTCTTCGACGATCCAGTGGCCATGGCCCACGCGTCCCCCCTGCCGCGAGCGCGCTCGGCGGCTGCGCCAGGACGCTCGGCCTCGGCCCCGGCCCCGGTCCGATCGACCCCGGCCCCGGCCCCCGTCGATCCGCCGGCCGATGCACGCTTCGCCATCCCGGTGGACATCTTCGCCGATGGCCTGCCTGATGGCATCCCCCCGGCATCGGCCGAGAATCCCCTTTCCTTTTCGGCCTTCCAGTCGAAGAAGTCGGTGAAGGCTGAGCGCCGGCCGTCGGCCACCCCCAGCGTTACCTCCAGCAGCACCCCCTCGCCCCGACCTGCCAGCCCGACCATTGCTGTGCCTGTGGTCCTGCCCTTCCCGAACACCCGTGCGTCGCCCTCCCCCCATTGGTCCCACCTTCGGCCTTGCTCTCGGCCCTGCTCGGATCACAACCATATACATGGGGGTGCACATATTTACAGACATACACACACGCGCACGCACATGCATGTGGCTTTGCATGAGGGATGGGGTGGCGAGTTCCGCACCATCGTCCCTTCCATGTGCATCTCCCCCCCTCCCCCCCCCTCCCCTCCCTGTCCCGGCCTTATACTAACGACAATGTCCTGGATCCGTAGCCGGACCTCCCCCGGCGCCGGATGCCGTCTCGCTCCCGGCCCTCCCGTCCCTTCCCACGCTGCCAGTTGTGCCAACCGCCTTCTCGGATCTCTCCGACTCCGAGGATGAGGGAGCCTCTGCGGCCTCCGGCCGGCCGGCTCTTGGCATCCCCAGTGTCCCCACCATCCCCACGGTCCCGCCCATTCCCATCATTCCCACGGTCCCGCCCGTCCCCGTTGTCCCGCCCGTCCCCGTTGTCCCGCCCGTCCCCGGGGCCAAGACTTCCACTCGAGCGAAGGTGTCTCGATCGCGCGAGGTTGCTCTGCCGGTGGTAGACCCGCTGGCCGGCCTGCCGGCGGTGGACGCCTCGCCTGCCACTGGGGCCAATGCCTCCCCGGGTGTCGCGCCGGGTCCCATGGCTCGGTCATCGCGTCCTGCCAAATCTGCTGCTGCGCTTCCGACGATTGTGGTCCCGAATGTGGACCCCGGGACGCCGAGCGCTCCGCCAGCCCTGCCAGCCACCCCCAGCCAGCCGCCCCAGCCGAGCCCGGAAATCCTGCAAGAGCTGTGCGTGTTGCATCATGGCCCATGCCCACCACGCCGGCGACAAGCCTCCACACTGGGCGGGGGGGGGGGGGATTCTTTTCGATATTTTCTTCTTTTCAGTGCCATCCACATTCGATCTTGGTTTGCCCGCAGTCCCATGCTCACCCCAGTCACCCATCTGGCCGGCTTTCCAGCGAGGCGCTTCGTCACAAGGTGGCCAAGCAGGACAAGTGCGCCCACACCGGCCTCTTCCTTTTTTTGCTGGCTGTCTTTCTTGCGCACGACCTTCTACACCCTGCCGCCGGCGTCGGCCCGACCCTTACTGACTTTCCTTGGGACTGGTGTGCGGCTGTTTACTTTAACCGGCGGGCCATTCCCTGCCCATCCCCCCGCCTGCTCAGCTCCATCCAGCGCTTGAAGAAGCTGATCCTCGAGGAGCGCGAGCAACACACCAGCACCCTGTCGACCCTGGAAACAGCCCTCGAGGCGGCGGAAGTGGCCCAGACACGCGTGCACGCCGAGCACCGGGCCATGCGGGACAAGTGTGCCCAGCTCCAGCAGGAGCTCGACACCACCCGGCAACAGCAGGCCCAGCAGGCCATGATGCTGGAGCAGGCACAGCTGCGTGCGGCCCAAGCGGAGGCGGCCTTGGCCGTGGCTCGCGGCGATCCCGGGGCCTTTGTCCGCGGGGGCGCCGGCCTGTCCAGCCCCGATGCGGTGGCCGCGCTGGCCGGCGGGCTGGGGCATCTGAGCGCGCGCCTGGCCCGGCAGGTGGACGAGTCGCAGCAGCACCTCACCGGCCTGCTGCAGGCCGGCCAGGCGGTGGCCGCCTTGTCGCGGGACTTCGAGGCGGCTCTGGCTCTCTTCCGGGAGTCGGGCAGCCACTTGCGCCCGGAATCCTGAGCCATGCTCTCCTATCCTGGTCTTTCTCTTTCCTCCACGTATGTGTTGCGTTGGTCTTTCTCTCGCTTTCTTCCGCCTGCGCCCATCGTCCGACGGCCTGCCTGACCCCTTGTCGTGTCTGCCGTTTCCCCGCTGGCCATTCCGCCCCGGCTCTCCTCGCCCCCTGTCTCCACCGAAATAGACCATCTCCTCTCTCGTTGTTACTTTGTTGGCCGTGTCCTTCTCCCTCGGTGTTTTCCCCCCCTCCTCCCCTCCCCCCTCCCCCCTCCCCCTCTCCCCCCTGCGCGCACACGAACAAACATGGTGACACATGTTAACCCTCCTCCTTTTCCGGCATTGACACGATGCCGGCATTCCCACTTCCGGCGCGCACATTCCCAGGCACCCAGGCGCACCTCCTTGATCGAGGGGATCCCGCCCTTTTCCTCGATACATGCTTGGCGTGGGCGCTCTCCCGGCGGCACAGATGCGCTAACAATGGAGTGCTCTTCTTCCTCCTTCCCTCTCCCCACCACGACCACCGCTGCCACTCCCTCTCTCCCTTGCCTCTTGGGAGGCCCCTTTCTTGGCTGACACACGCGTGCTCCCTGGCTCGCGTCGGTGGACACATGGCAGGCGTCCCCGCCCCTCTGAAGAGGGGGCGCCGTGCATCTCGGAGGAGGGGAGGTGCGCCATCGCGCAAAACCATGCACATAGACATGCTCTTCGGGTCGGAGGGTTTGTCTCCCTCTCTCTCTTTCTCCCTCGCTACAGTCCGTCCCCTTCCATTCCTTTGATGTCGGGCATATGCACGCTAGACTGGCGTGCGATCCGGCCCATGTGCCGAAAGAGGGCGTGGCATGCGCGAACGCACAGGGGGGCGAAGAAAGAGCCGTGTGCGGCATGGGCCAGGACACAGCCATGCACACATACATTCACGCATTTGTTTATATACACATACATGGGCTTACCAGCACGGAGGGGTGACAGTGAGCACGCGCGTGCAAGTTGATGGCCTGTGCGTATTAAATCTTGCACATGCCCGTCCACCGGGGGGACTGGCGCATTTGCAAGTACATGTGTCGGTGATGCCCTGCTCCGAGCATGGCAGTGTGCCGGCCTGCTCGCGCGCCTTTTTTGACGGAAGCTTTCATCCTTGCAAAAACAACACCAAGATGGTTGGCCCTTATACACGGGCATCCTGGTGGGCACCATCTTGCCCGCTCCCCTTGCGTCATCTTCTCCAAGGGAGAGGGGGCGGCGGCGGGGGCTGCCTCTGGCGAGGGGGAAGCCCCCCCGGCTCAGACGTCGACACCGGCCTCGAAGGTCGAGCGGACACTGGCACGCAGGACGACCGCCTCCTTGCGCATGCCGCCCTCGCCACCGGCCAGCGAGGGGGAGAACTTGTTGAAGGTGAAGTCCGTGCCGAAGAGGCCGTCCTTCAGCTCGTAGTCCGGCTCCTCGCCCTCGACGGAGAAGTTGCGCACCTGCTCGGGCTTCGAGCCGGGGGCGCGCTTCTCCAGCAGGAAACGCGCCGTCTGGCCGAGGATGCCGTGCGGGTCGGTCGGCATGCCGACCACGCTGGCGTGCAGGTTGATGTAGCTCTCGGCCACGAGACCCTTCTCGATCTTGGCGCGGGCGACAAACTGCCAGGCCGGGGTGCGGACCGTCAGCCGAGGCCGGGCGTCAACCACCTCGTACATGATGTCGACGTTGCTCATCTCGATGCTGGCCCCGTCGGCGAGGGACTCGCCGTCGATGTAGGCGCCGAAGTGCGGGTCGAAGCCGATCATGTGCGACCCGACCAGGATGCTGACACGGCCCATGTAGGTACCTGACGGCACGGTGTCGCGACAAACATCCCGAGCCACGCAGACAGAGGGTCAGCAGGGGGGAGGCGCGGTGTTGGCGTGAGTAGCGCGTGCAGCGTGCGCCCCCCCCCCCAAGGGGAGAGCGGGGGGTGTGGGCAGAAAAGGGGCCAGCAGCCGGCGAGAAGGCCCCGCGAAAGGGGGACCGCCTCGGGCCTCCTGACGCAACACCGACCCCCGGTGGCATGGCGTGCGGGAGATAGGGAGATAGCGAGAGAGAGAGAGAGAGAGAGAGAGAGAGAGAGAGAGAGAGAGAGAGAGATAGGGAGAGGGCCGCCAAGCACAGGGGAGGCACGCGGCCTTGTGGGGACGCACCCTTCAGGTTGTGCAGCCGCGTGAACTGGGCATTGACCTGGACATCGCGGTCGGACACGATGTTGTACGACCGGCCGGCCTCGCCCTCAAAGTAGTAGTCCGCCCCGTTGAAGCCCATGAAGTGGGGATCCTGGGTGCCGGAGCCGGACTCGATCTTCTTGCAGGTGGTCACCGACCGGCACACCCCGGCCTCATTGAGGCAGGAGTACACATGGCGGCCGCCGCTGACGCACTGCGACACCTTGGAGGCGGCGAAGGGGTTCTTATTGGCGGCGCACTCCTTGTCATTGGTGTAGCACACCAGCGAGGAGCCACCCTCGCAGACGCACTCCGGCTTGGGATGGTGCGTGGGCTTGGGCGGGTGGGGGTGGTGGTGGTGGTGGCCGTGGTGGTGGTGCAGGTGCAGGCTGTGGCCCTGGGTCTTGGTCTTGGTCTTGGACTTGGTCTTGGACTTGCTGGCCTTCAGGTGGGCGATCGTGTGGATCAGGCCGTCCTCCTCGTCCTCGCGCTCGTCCTTGTCGTCAGCGCGGGCATGCGGGGCCGCGGCTCCGAGGAGCATCAGCGCGGCGATCACCAGGATCAGGGACTTGTGGAGCTTGGTCCTGTGTGTGTGTGTG